CACTGCAGCTCCAATTGAGTTTTTTGTTGTTAGATTTCCAAAATCAATGACTTTAATGTACTTTTCTTTTTTGAAAGGAGTGAAGTTACTTCAATGTGTAAATCCTCTGCAAATATAACGTGGTTACATTCTTTGTTATAGTCATACGTCCCAAAAAGTACGTCAATATCCCAAGGAGAGTCTTTCTCTATTTTACATTCCGGTCCAACATCCAAATAGATGTTGCCAAGACACTCGTAAAACGCGTCTTGTTCTATTTTAGTGACACTCTTTGGAATATCGACATCCAAATTGTAATTTTGCCGAAATGCACGCGAACAAATTTCAAGAAGATTCTCTGGAAGAACCACATCACTTAGAACATGGCAACCATCGCAACAACCATTTGGAATTATAAACAGTGATTTCGAAAATGTCAAATGTTCAAGTTCTGTGCAGTTCTGAAAAGCACTTTCACCCAAAAAAGACACGGAGTCTGGAATTTTAAGCGATTCAATTCCACATTAACTGAACGCCGAATCTCCAATTTTTGTAAGTGTGGGTGGGAGATCTATTTGTTTTAAATTGCTGCAGTTGAAAAAACATCTTGTTGGTATTTTTCTGATGTTGTTGTGAAGATTAACAGAAACCAAATTTGTGTTATTATCAAAAACACTTGTTTTCAATTTTGTAACGTGAAGAGGAACACTGAATTCGGTTATTTCTGTGAAATTGTTGAGGAGTGATAAAGAGTAAATGTTGACTGATTTTGGTATTTCATTGATATCACTTATTGAGTTGGTAAAAAAGTCTTCGTTGTCTATTTTAACATGTTTGTAAACAACTTCCAAATCTGTAAAAAGAGAATACGAGTCTGTTAAAGAAACTGTAAACCACACTACATAACGTTTAACAAATGGAATTAAAGTGTCTTTTTCTGTGTACAAGTGCTGTGTTTCAATGTAAGGAAACAGTTTTAAAGTACTAACAGAAATTGGGTTGTAGCGGAAACGGTCTAATATATTTAAAAACTTTTTGTTTATTTGAACAGCATTAACATAATCTTCATACAAGTAAAAGTACTTGGCGACAATTTGAAAAGAAAAGACGTCGAGTTGTGGTGGCATTCTGATGAATGAGTTTAAAAATTGAATTTTTTATATTTTAACTTACTATTGACATTAATTTTTTTACTATTTATTTGGTTCATTGTTTTTTTTTATTAATATTTTAATAATTAAAATGTTTTAATTCAATCTACTATAAAAATGGTTTTAGAAAACTATATAATGATTATTTCATTGAAAATTTTGAAAAAAAAAATAAAAAAAACAAAAAACTATAAAGTACTATTAAATTATTATTAGCCGTTTTTTCTGTGTCAGTTTATTTTTCAGATATCTGTATAAAGTCGGATTTATAAAAATTGTGTGATTTAAATAATTAGATTGTTTATGTTCAAAAAACATGTTTTTGAATGAGAATTAGCATGAAAATTGTTTTTAACAACTTAAATATATAAAATTTAGGCAATAGTTTTTTCTGTATTTGTTTATAACAGAATTTATTGGTAATCACATGTAAATTAACAATAATAATCAATAAAATACTATCTATTTTTATATATTAAAATTATAAATTACAGTTTAAAACATGGAAATATTATTTTTATTTTTAAAATAATTTTGATGTGTTTAAACACAGTTTATGTTAATAAAAACGATGTTTTGTTTGATAATAATATTGTATATTTTACGTTTTATTAACGTAAAATTATTCATAAATAATTAAAACTTCATATATGAATCATGACTCAAGTATTATGATAAATAGATGAACAAACTGTATTATTAAAAATGCGATTAGAAAGAATATACATTATGAATGTTGTTCTTTATATGGATTTCAAATCCATAAAACGCCTTGTCTATGTTAACAAGTCTTGTCATGAGGCAACGACGTCGTTATATACAACGCCATACAATATTGCTTGTGATGAACACAAATTAACTAAAATGTCGAAATATTTTCCAAAAGTGGAAACACTTGTTGTTACTAACGACATTTTCGATGATTCTTTTTCTTTGGACAAATTAATGAACCTTTTCTTAAACTTGAAAACACTTCATATTACGAGAAGAAACACACATAGCTCAATAGACACCAAAATATTACCTTTAGTGACTGATTTGTCTATTGAAGATAGTGACACATTCATTGGGAACAATGCCTCTAAGCTAACAAGGTTGAGACGTTTTTCAATGTCACATGATTCTTATTACGGCGACAGTAATTTCCAGAGAAATTTATTTTCGTTGCAAACTCTTCAAGAAGTAACATTGAAACACACAATTAGTCAGATTTTATCACTCAAAGATGACATTATCAACTTACTGAGTAGAAATATAAAAGTGACCTTATATGTGGAACACAATGACACTTCTGATTACTACAACATGGACTATGTAAATAACGAAGATGATGTGAAAGCAATCAACGATTTTTACAATCAAAACAGGTGTAATCCACATTTATTGATATATAAAAGTGATTATGATACCCAGTTGGAAATGCCTTTATTGTCATCTGAAAGCATATTTACGATGCAAGCTGTTGATGAAAATGATAGTGAGAGAATATGCCAAATGGTTAAAGATATGCAACTTAATAAATTGTTCATAGACTGTAGTGAAGCCATTTGTGATAACCAAGAATTTACACTTGATTTGAGAAAAGCAACAACACTGGAAGAAATACGAATAACAAGGTTTGGTGGTAAATTGTCGATACCAGATTCTATCAAAAGTATTTCAATTAATTTTAGAGACGCAACAATCGTCACCAATAACGCTAAAATAGAAGAGATGAGTATCGAATGTTGTAACGCAAATGGATTGAGAGTTGAAGAAGGCGTATTGAAAAAAGTTTACTTTTGGCACCAAGGACTTGGTTTTTCTTTTGTTCACAATGGAGAGGAATTGAAAAATACACTTTACATTGATAATATCGACTTTGATTACAGTCAGTTAGACAACCCAGATGACCTCAAAGTGTACAAAGAAGGCAAACAAATCGTATTGAAAAAGGAATAATTAGATAATTTGATTTGTTTTTTGAGTTTAAAACTATGATGGTTAACAATTTTTTTGTCGAATTTTTAAATATAAACTTTGATATTTATTAGTATTTTGAAGCTACAATATTTATTTATTATAAAAGTACTAATTAATACTCATTTTTTAATAAATAATTATTACTAAATATTTAATAAAAACAATGAGTCAAATTGATGTGTACCATATGATGGTAGTTTCCCAACTTATTTTTCGACGATAAACGACTTAATTGTATTGGAGATGGTTTGTAAAAAGTTTCAAGGAAATATGGACAAATTTCACAATAACCCAGTTCCAATAAACAAAAAGACTATCAAATTTTTTCCAAAGATCGAAACACTTAATTTATGGAACTGTGACAATGAAGTTTTCGGTAATGATTTATTTAATAGAAAAAAACTAGAAACAACAACCAAAATCGACTTCTTCCAAATCAATGTTTGGTTTGTAGTGACCTACGATTGTACTCAAACCCACTTACATCA